AGCCGGTTGGTGGAAATTCGACGTTCCCATGACGGTAGGGCTGTCTATACGTATTACAAAGTACCATTTAAGTAGTGCTACTTATTTTATCCACAACCGAAGGGACGATGACAAGACACTGGGTTTCCCGCAAAATCCCACTCAGGGGTCATCTCAGTCCATCATCCCTGTGGGTATCCATAAAATAAATACTATTATTGTGTAAAGTTATAACAGTGGCCATTCTTTGGATAAAATTATTGTTTTAGTTTAATAAAGCATCTTTCAAGTAGTGACCCAGTGCCATCAATTGCCCAAGATCTGCAGTCCTTCGTAGATTAAGATGTTTTCAGCCAATTAATAAGTGTTTATACATACAGGATGAAACCGGAGCACCCGGAGAAACCCCAAGCTTGCAACACTCTTTCGCACACAAAAAGGACAGGTGATATTTAGTCTGCACTTTGCTGCACCGCCGGAAATGAAGCTGAGCAACATTTGTGTGATCCACCGACTCTCGCCTTCACAGTGCTGCTGGGTTATAGGCGTGCCATCAATGCCTGGCTCACACAAGTCGCCGCCTTTGCAATGCCGAATTTCCAGCAGCAGCAGTGGAGATGCGTGCTGTCCTTTGCTCATTTGAAGCGTCACTTTCAATTTTATATTTTAAAAAAAGACATGGCATCTCAATGGGCCCGATCTTAGTTTAAACACAATGCAAAATAACATGTCTTAATTGGCTTTTGGAGTAAACATTTGTTTTTATATCTTATTCTTGGGACCTTGTTTGTCGGTATCAAAGTATGAAAAAGTAAGAATAGGTTTTAACCTTTTTGGCAATAAAACAGGTGTTAAGATGTTCAAACACCAAAGGAATCATGTCTGCGTTAACCACACGTACTTGTGGTGAGCATGCAAACAAACGCTGATGAGACTAGGCCCTAAAGAAGGCTGTCTCTGGTGTAGACCAATCAGTATCCAAGACAATGCATATATTATCAGAGCATGTTTGTTTGCATGTTCACCACAAGTACGTGCCGGTTAATGCAGACTTGAGTCCTTGCAAAAGGTTTCTATTTGGTGTTTGGACATCTTAAACACGTCCTGTTAAATTGGCAGAAAGGGTAAAACATATCCTTGTTTTTAAAAAAAAATTATTATTGCTTATTCATTTCAACCAACATGTCTCCTTATCGTGGCTATCTCCAGCCCCCGATATTAACGGCTTGTCGAGCCCATTGGATTTTTCCATTGGAGATGGCTGGTGTTGAGTCTGTGGGTTCATATCGCATCGGGTGATCTTGTGGTCAAATCAGACTAAGTGATTGCCACCACTTGGGTCTAATGCCGCGATTAGCAGTGTGATAATGAACGAGGACCACTTTGTGGGAAGTCAACAATGGTTGCATTGAGAGACTGTCCCCCACCATAAAAATGTGGAATTTCCACCACAGGCTCAAGGCATCAAACAGATACAACCTCTGTCCAATTGTTCATTTGAGCAGGGAGACACTGACTTAAAAAAGAATAACTTGATTATGCTGTCCATATTAAAAATCACAGGGCAAAAAAACCAGCACACCACTATTATTACTGGTGTCAGATAGCCATATCGATTATGAACTTTCTCAGCTGTATGCATCACAGTGTACTTTAGCAATAATAATAATAAACACGTCAATGGACAAGATTGGTAGACATGGAAAGCCGGACCTTGGGCTGGGGAATCTCAACACTGGGGTCGAATCATCAAGGCCCTCTCCGAACACTCACACAGGCAGGTGGGCAGGGATTGCCAGCACCAATGCCCCGTCCATAATTCCGACCCTGCGCTTTGCAACACTTCACTCCTAGCTGTGGCTGTAGCATGGAGAAATAGTATAACACTGCCGATAACTTTGAAACACTTGTTATGCACCGATCCCACCGAAGCCAGTCTCTCTGTTTTTGACCAGGGGGCTATAGTATAAGATACTGCTGCCAGTACACCTATTGTATATTGGCATTGTAGTATATGCAAACCCCAGTAGATGCGTCAATCAAAAACTTGACCATGGATTGATATTGGTAGAAATTTAAAGCTACAGATGTCACATGATGCATATCTATAGTAGTAGAAATGGTGATCGAACAATTACTTACGAGAGAATCTGGCCAGGTGGTTACAGTGGTCAGAGCACTCAACTCATAATCGGATAGTTGCGAGTTCAAATCCTCGTCAGAGGTTGACCCATCTCATCATGCCTTTGGGGTCGATTAAATAATACTACTTTGTGGGAAGTCAACAGCAGTCATCCTACAACGAGACTGAGAATGTGGAAGCAGGGGGAGACACCTTAAACTGACTGCAATATACAGTATATGATGCATGCATATACTACACATTACAAGTATATTCAGCGTAAAGTATATTAACGTAAACTATAAATATACAAACAGTATAGAATGTGTAGTAATATGCACACGTACTTTACATACTTACATACCACAGCCGGGACAGCTCACTCACTCGGTAGAGCGGAGGGCTCAGGCACGTGAGTTCAAACCAAGCACAGGGCCCCACCGAATACGTAATGTAATTGTCCGCCCAGCATAAGCACATCGCCATGATTGTTGTGTGAGTGGCCAACGCGATCCAAAACACTCCTTCTAAACCGAGAATAAGGGGACTGTCAGCCATGACACGTGTTGGTGGATGAGGGCCTCCTCATGCCATGTCACATGATCCACGGGTTATTTTGAGCCATAGTTCACCAGGCTGGCTAGCGCGGGTTGGTGAACGGAGGGGGCTGATGTGGCCAATTAAAAAAAAACCTGCTTTGAATGGTGATGACCCATCCAAACACTATCCAGGCTCAACCTTGCTTATGTTCCAACATCTGACATCCTGGTGATTTGGTCAAAGGAAAATACTTGTAAATGCAGAATGTAAGTGTATATATGTAACATACAGAACAGTATACAACACAGTATATTAAATGGGTGCTTTTGCAGTTTCTATACTGCTTACATTTTTTGGCTAACCATCGAAATAAAGACGGTCACCGCATCGTGCGCTTTAAAGATGCGCTTCTGCAGCCGTCTGGAACGCTCTTCCAATATTAGGAAGCCACTGGAGCTATGCACTTTTCAAACTCAATTGAAAATGTATTTCATTAGAACTGCTTTTTGGGTTTAGTTTGTTGTCCTTTCCCCCGCACCTCCGATTAGCACGGTTGGCTACGTACAGTGCGAGAGAAGTTCAACATACATAAGAACATAAAACGTTATATTGTACACTCTAATGCAGTACACTACAGTAGAGTCCTGCATCGGTTTAGGTACCCGCTTGATTTCGGGGTCGGAACGAAGTCGTCTTTACGGCTTGCGGTTCGGGGGCCGGGTCAGGAAGTCACGACTCAGGTCGCGGGTCAAAAATTTAGATCCACACAGGACACCACAGTATTATGTCCACTACACACGCATCCGAAACAGACAGAAGACAACTGCATATTCATTACTGTAGCTCAAAGTGTCTGCAGTGTTGGTGCTAAGCTCGTGGTAGAGATCCCAGATTCCCATGACAGAGTTCAGTTTAACAGTGAACAACCACTTTTGACTTCCCATCCGTTGTTGCAAGCGGTGCTTATTTAGATATTTTATCGACCCTGGAGAGGTGATGATGATGGGGTAGGGTCAACCCTGGCTGGGGCTTGAACTCGCACGCTCACGACCGTGAGCGTTGGTACTCAACTAACAAAAGCTGAGTTCCTCTTACTGGTATATACATATACAGCATATTCATATATACAGTATAGTATATACAATGCACCCACACATACACACACACACATACATAAACACATTGTATATGCATGCCCACAGTATAATATACATATGTATATGCACATACTGTTTAGTGTATGTGAAACCACAAGAAGAGGGCCTCATCCTAACTCTATCAACGTCAGACTCGAGTACTTTGCACCCCTTACAGCTGCGGCGCAGTTAACACTGTTGCTTTTGTGCAGTCGTCAAGCTTGAAACATATGGACAACCCCCCCCCCCCCAGCCTCTTAGACACCCACCCCCCTTTTTCTAATGATGCTCGTGTCCCCTAGATATGCAAACCCGCTTCAGGTGACCGCTTGAATTACGCGCAGATGCAACGTCGTGCCTAACGGGGTGTCCGTCGCTAAACGTGGACGGTTCTGTCGACTATTTCGTCACCGCCACGCGCAGGAGAGCGCACGCGCGTTTTAAGTTACATGATCACAAGTACAAAAAAAATTCGCGTATCATTCGGAGAAGACCGATCGACTCGAAGTACAAATTTTAGTGGGACCTTTTTTTTCTATCGAATCTTTGGCCCACTAAAAGACCAATACAACTTTAAAGGGCCACCTTGTATCAACTCTGTTGAGGAATGAGGGAATTAGTTGCTCCAAATATCAGAGGCGACAAGCGGACTTTCCAAATCCCTTAGGGGGTCTCGGCAAAGACTATAAAGACACAATTTGAAATCCAAGTCAGGGGTCGACTCGGCACATTGTCTTTCCAAGGTCTTTAAAATGAGTACCAATTTTTGGAAGGTCAACAGTGGGCATTCTATGGAGAGAATAGCTGCCACCATGAAAATGTGGAATTCCCACTGCTGGCTTAGGGCTGGCGATGGGGATTAGCTTTATGCCCCATTGCTCATTTCAGCAGGGAGACAACTTTTGTTAATAATGTGACACAAATTTTGATACAATCTTTGTATCACATCATACTGATGGTTAAAAGTATACGCCACCAAAATTGTCAGAACTGCTATCTGTGATCGTTAACATCAAGGGCACCCAAAAATGTTCCCATGGTCGTAAGGAGAGAGAACCCAGAGCCCACCAATACCTCAACCCATCCTCGTTTCTTGAAGCACTTTGTGAAAAAGCGAGGAATGCGAGCCGTCAGCAACAACAAAAAGCCGCAAGGTGGTACAACAGAGATGGTAAAAGAGCGGCCCTTGCAGACACGGCTGCGTGGGGAAAACCCAAACGCCGTCACGGAACGAAGCGACGGAACTTGTGGCTGGGCGGCAGCAGGATCCCCACCTGCCAGCCCCAGGGCGCCACCGGCTTCTGCGGCGGCACGCCAAAGCGGCCGGCGCTGACCGAGTACGCGGGACTCAGGTCCCCGTCGTCTCCCAGCACGAGCGACGGCGGAGGTGGGAAGTTGGACAGGAAGCTGAAGGAACGCAGGCCGGAGGAGGAGGCGGCGGCGGCGGCGGCCGCGGCCGCTCCGGCTGCGGCGCCACCCGGATGCTTATGGGCGGCGCCCCTCACTCCTAGCGGTGCCGTCGAAGCGTCGGTGTCGGTCGACCGGCGCGTGCCGCCGCCGACTCCCGTTGCTGGCGCCGCCGTCCCCCGTCTCCTCTGCGCGGCCACGCTTGCCCGCAGCGTCTTCCTGTCACGCTCAGACCTCCTTCTCCTCCTCGGGGTGGTCGCCCTACGGCGTGGCTGTACAGGCGGCCGTGGCCCCGAGGCCGTCGGCGCCGGTGATGGGCAATACTGGGGCGGCTCACCCTGCTTGGCCGATCGTGCCAGAGGTGGTCGGCCCCTGCCCGACCTTTCGACAGCGACTCCGCCGCCGATGTCGATGGCTGAGCTGGCGCTGGCCCTGGCCCCGACTGTATCTCTTCTTATTCTCCTCCTCGTGTAACTGGAGCTACTGGCTCGTCGCCGGTCTGAATTCTCACCGTGAGCTCTCTTGTCGCTCTGCCTCCTCTTCACTTTCCGACGGCTCACCGAGGGCCGTGCGTCTCGCCGCGCTCTGTCTTTAGAGAGGTGTCCGAGCGAAGCTTCGGTAACAGCGGCAGCAGCAGGCGTGGCAGGGGGCCGTCTCGCATTTCCAAAAAGACCCCCTTCCGGAACCTCCTTCTGCTGCTCCTCAAACGTGACTATTGGCTGAAAAGTGGCGCTTTCAGAGCCGACGGCACTGCCCTTGTTGACCACGTCAGGGCGGTCGGAATACCCGTTGACGTTGCCGTGACTGAATCCCGCCTTCTCCTTCATGGCAGAAGAGACTTTCCCGCCGCCGCCGCCAGCCACTTCAATGCCAACGCCCAACCGGGTGAACGCCGAGAAGCCCCCACCGGCGGCAGACTGCAGTGCCAGCCTGTTGGACGGCGTGCCGCTCGTGTAAGACGTCAGCGTCCAGCTCTCATGCTGCTTTTTCAGCACAAGCGGCGTGCTGGGCACGGATGGCGGCGGCATCGGCGACGGCGGGGGCGGCGACGGTGAAACGCTGCGCACCGAGCCGCACTCGGACGTGCCGGAGCTGCAGGCCGAGTTCGGGCTCGTCAGGCTTTCGTCGTCGTCATCGTTGGAGCAGGAGTCGTAGGGGTCCACGGTGGCCTCGTGCCTCACAGCTGCCGCCGCCATCACCATTTCCGGCCGGTCGTTGGCGGCGCGGGCCGCGGAGGAGGAGCTGCACGTGGGGGCGCAGCAGACTGCGTGGGCCCGCTCGCACGTGTCATACGCCAGTGCCGCCTTCCCGTTGACGTAGCCATTCTGAAACCCCTTGAGCGAGTGCCTCTCCAAGGACGGCTGATTCGGCAGCGTCGTCTGTTTGTAGGTGGACATGGCGGCCCCACCAGCGCTGCCACCGCCGGCACCGCCGCTGCCAATTCCCGTCGCTCTCACGGTATGGCCGACTTGCTTTGTGCCGCCGCTGCCAGCGTTCACGGTCTTCTTCAGAAACAGCCGCTCGAAGGCCCACGGTTGGCCAGTCACCTCCTTGGACGCGCTGCTCCAACAGGCCATCCCCGCCTGGCGTCCGTCTGCGCTGTGGTCTCCCTTGACGCCGCCCCTCGGCACCTCATGGACCCCGCGCCGTTCTGATGCCTCTAACAGCGTGGGGTCCAAATGCACGCCGCCACCACCGCCACAGCCGTTACTTCCCGGAAAAATTACATCAGAGCCGTATGCCTCAAACGTCCCGCATTCTCCCCCACCGCCACCGCCTCCAATGCCGTTCAAAAGCTGCTGCGACTCCATCCCGGACAGCTTCCTCTTCTTGGCGTCGGTGGGTCCAGGGACGGCGGTGGCCTTGTGTGGCGCGGGAGCGCTGGCGTTAGGCGCCTGCGGCTGGGGCACCATCTTCCTGCGCCTCTTCTTGGTCTTGAGCACAGGCTCGAGCTTGCAGGACGTGTAGAGCGCGAGCATGTCGGAGCGCGAGATGAGCGTGCACTTGGCCGAGTGGAATGCGATCGACTTCATGGCCTTGAGCTTGCGCAGCTCTTCCAGGTCGCACTGGTGCTTCTGCACGTGCAGGTGGTCCATGCGCTTGTGCACAGTCGTGCGCGGGATGTTCTGCAGCAGGTCCGTGAATACCTGCGAGGGGGGCATCCTGGTCAGCATCCCTCGCTCGGCTCATTTTAATTGGGCGGCCGCGTTCATGGCAACTTATGGACAGCCATGTGCTGTGTGTCCCTCAATAATGTTCATAGGCCCTCTTGGCTACTAGACATGAGCCCCCCACTGTTGCGAGTAACTTCCCCCCAACTTCAAAACAGTTTCTACGCACCTGCAAGATTATGTTGGCACGCAAAATAAAGATTGATTGATTGGGGAACCTACAACCCATGGGTCGAATCCGGCATGTGGTCACCTAAGGACTACTGCTTCGAAAGAGTCTGCAAATTATATTAAATTTTCACTGCAAGCATCTTAGCTGCACTAATCAGGCACGAGAGGGGAATATGTTTGACCTAGCAACACTTTTAATTGTATCGCTGTGCTCATTGAAGGTATTGGAAGGTCTTATTGGGTCTTATTGGGCCCTTGGTACGGACACGATTCCCCCGCCCCTCATCTAAACAGGTTCTGCAGGCACCGACCTGTGAGAGGGCGAACATCTGCACGTCTTTGATCACCAGGTATCCCAGCTGGACGCCGTCCACGCAGTCCTGGCCGCTCTGCTCATCGTGCAGGGCACAAGTCGTGGCGCCGGACGGTGGGGCTGCCATTGGGCCCGTACGTCTGTCCGTCGGCGCGCACCGTGGAGACCAGGGGGCGGCACCAGAAGCGAGACTGCTCTCATCACAAAGGGAGACGAGAGATGCCCCCACCCGCATCCCTGATAAACCCTCTCCAGCAGCGCGTCTAAATGCTACGATTTTGTCACCGTAACTTTCTGTAAAATTCACAGGAGAGGTGTGGTACCCAAACATTGATTTGTGTAAATGTCATGCAACAGGGTGGGGCATTTTTTAAAATAAATAATAACAATCATTACTTATTCAATAATTGTACAAATGAGTGGGTTAACCTGGCAGGCTGTCGACGCATTGACATGCAGACGTGAGCAGCCTTAGTAAAATCCACTGCTAGATGAGGTCCTCCCAGTGCCATGGGGGTTGTTTGATGTCTTAAATTGTCATTTTAAAGTAATCTTAAACATGAATTCACATTACTGACTGGCTGAAACCCGCCTGCATACTTCCCCGTAATATTTGTGAACAATTTTCAAAGCAGGCCTCTCCAAGACCAACATTTGACTTGGGCAATAATTGCCAATGAACTCGGTGTCAATGCATTACCAGGGCCTACAGCCAGAGTATGGAACGTGACTCCTAATATTGATTTTATAACCCTGTGATGCTATGCATGCATGCATGTACGTGCAGTCGTATTAAGCATAATTGTTGAGCTGTGCATTTTGTAAGCCACAATATCTTTTGAAACAAATGTAACCATTGAATGCTGGACGTATCCAACGAGAGGCAGACAGATGTATCTATCTCACATAGGATAAAATAAAACGAAAGCATCTTCTTAATCAAACAAATGTGAGATGATATCTTGGTGTTCCTAATCCAATGATGGAAATTCGTCATTCCTATGGTAAGGACCAGTCTGTGTCAGGGAATCGAACCAGTTGACTTTCGGGTATGGTTCAGTTTAACCCAAGACCATTTCAACCAGTCAGGGTTCAATGGGTTTAAATCAAAAGATTCAGTTACTCTTAGCCGTTGATAACATCGGCACATTGATAAAAGACCTCTCGTGTAGCCTCCAATGTGGGCTAAACGGGGGTCTTTGTTTTGCTGTTTTTAAGCTAATGTGCAATAAATAAACATTGTAGCGTTACATTTAACGTAATAATTAGAGCAGGAATTCATGTAATTTAAACAAATACCGTGCAACGTTTATTGTTTTGCTTCACAGCTCTCATGGCGCATGCATTCATGCAAGCGTGAAATTACAGCAAGTAAAATTATGTCCACACCACAAGCAATAAAATAAACAATAAAACCAAGACATGAAGATTGCACAGCATTTATCAAATTTACTTTAATGTTTAATGATTGTGTTCTAGTTAAAGTTATAATCAATCCCTTAATTATAAAATGTGAATAAATAGATGTTATTTAATGGGCAGGCTCTATGCATGTTGTCTGTTGGTGCGTCTGTTTATGAATTTGCTTCCCCTAAGTCGACTCAGCCTCAAATGAGTACCTGGTATGGTGTGTAAACATTGATACTGGAAAGACAAAGGCGGCCGGGTGTGGTGCTAGCCACCCACCCCCTCGTGTGCCGTGCTGGCTTTCATAGGTGCTCGCTAACAGCACTTGCCCCAAAAGCATGTTAAGTCTACACAGGGGATCTTTGTCTTTGTATATGTCGCTATCCGAGTCACAGTTTTTTTTCCTTTGTATGCTTCGTCGGGCGCCCTGGTGTCCTCCCACATGTAACTCAGTTGTCAATTATAAAATGGCCAAACATACTAGGACAGGACCCACTATGAAGACAATTGGGATTCAATGAGGCTGTCCTAAATAAATAACACTATTATGACAAGGTATATAGTATTTTCCATAAAAATGTTACTGGATCTTCAGATGCGGTTGAAATTAGATGCTACATGGATCCAAATTGTATTGTGCTCTATACTCTGTAACTTTTAATTACCGATTTACCGTCAAATATGCTCATGTTGTTGAACAGATGTGTTTAGCTTGCATGTTTTATATTAAATAAGTCAAAGTTTGGTGGTGCTCATCACCCATGGTAGCTTTAAGCCAGGAGTGGACATTTAGAATTCCTACAGTGGGGGTCAGTCCCTCCAATGAATATAACCAATATTGACCTCCAACAAAGTGGTACAAATTTTCTGAAACCTGCAGTCCATAGCCAAACACGATCTGAACTTGCAATCATCTGATTGTAAGTCGCGAGCTCTAACCACAGCACCGCGTGGGTTTTTTCACGTTTTTATTGAAATGCACGCTGCATTTTCTGTTTCTCTTTCCCGCGAGTGGGAACGGTTATCATTGTCCGGCACGCTGTCCGTGCGAGTCGCGAGCAGAGATACGCTTCCCGTTAACCCCCTTATCAGCAGGTCCGAGCCACAACCCCCCCGCAGCACTGCCGCACGCGCAGACGAAATTCGGGGAGGACTCAGGGTGAGATGGGAGCGTGGGGTGACACGGGCACGCGATTTAAAACTCCTCCAAGCTGCGACGCATTTTTAAATTCTCTCTCCCGCTAAAACAAACCGTCGCTTATAAAATAACTCGGCCTATAACAGCGCACAACTTTCTCTCTGTCCACCGAGTGCCGACACGATATTTGCGTGAGTGTAAGCGGCTTGCCGGACCCGCAGCCTGTGCACCTGTATTTTCATTGGGGCTCTCTGTTTTTGTTATTTTAACAGGGGCTGTATTTTACACAGTGGCTGCTCTTTAATGCCACATGCAGCTTGTTTACAAGGAGGCCTAGTTTGTTTTATTATAAATATTTACCACACAGCATGGCTCTGTTTGGATGCACGCAGCTGGTTATAATGGGCTGCAAATGCCATATTTTGTTTTATTACGGCGAGAAATTTACATTATTAGCTTAAAGTGAGCGGGGCATTCATTTGCCGATGACGCCAGCACTCAATGTTCTACTCTTGCATTAAGAGCCCTTACGAGAGACCTGTGCTTGTTTTGGACTGCCCAGCTTTCTCATACGGAAGGTTCAAGTTCAAGAAACCATGATGGATAATGCCCTCGATGCCACTCTGCCACGCCATTGCTTCCTTCTTCCAGATCCCACAACTGTTGCAGAGCTGGCAACTTACCTCCCAAGTTCTGCTCTTTACAAGTACAGTATCCCAATTATCACAGCCACCATGGTACCTGAGCGGACTGCAGAGACCTTCTTAATCCGGGCAACGGCCAAGCCATCATGGGGAATCTTATCGGAGTCCATGTAATGGTGTGGTGGTTGTTGGCTGAAGCGCTTTGCACTGGCCACTCTATTTCCCATTGTCACTACTGGAGGCTCATCTGCCTTTGGTGATGCTGTGAGTACCTCGTGACCCACTGCCCCAGGAATCGGCAACCAACATAACGAGACATTTTTGTTCGAATTCGGTAAAAAAACTCAATGTTTCAAGAGCCGCAATGCTTGTGAATTCGAGACGGTGGTGGTCATTAGGAAATTATGTCACGAAGCGGTCCTTAAAGAGCCTCATGCGTCTCCGAAGCGGCAGATTGCCAGCTCCTGCACTACCCTGTCATGGGTCTCATTGTCACAGAATTGAGTCATCTAACTTTGGTTGTGTTAAGATTTGATTTCTCCAGCCAAGGTCATGCATATTAGAACGAGGTTGATATAGGCTGATAGACTGAATTAAATACTTTACCTTTGTCACAATTTACAAATGCCACTTTCTAAGAAAATCGCCGTTCTATACGCGAAAGCCTTTGTAAGTATGCATGTTGGATTTTTTTTCGCACCGTACGTAGCCAACCGTGCTAATCGGAGTTGCAGGGGAAGGACAAGAACCTCAACTCAAAAAGTAGTTAAAAAGAAATTAGCTTTCAATCTAGATGTGAAAGGTCATAGCTTCAGTGGCTTCCTAATATCAGAAGGAAGAGCGTTCTAGATGGCTGCAGAAGCGCGTGATGCATTGACCGTCTTTGTTCGATGGTTAGCCAAAAGCCGCTGCGAGGATGAGTTTGCGTGATGGTGTATGCTCCTTGATGAGATCAGCAAGGCAGCGTTGTATATTTGTGGCAAGGAATTTGTGTGTAATGACTGTGACCTTATAATGTGTTCGTTCGGCAACCAGAAGCCAATGCAGCTCGGTGAGCACTGGACGGACATGGTCGGATCTTGCCGTACCCGTCACGACACGTGCCAAAGAATGTTGTACGCGCTGCAGCTTGGTAACGTTTTTGCCAGACGTTCCGTAGAGTAGTGAATTGCAATAATCGAGTCTTGTAAATACTACGCTGTATGTCACCGTGGTGGCTATGTCACGACTCAAAAGTGGTCAAATGTCTCGTAGAGCCCTGATATGAAAATTGCAGGACCTGACTATATTTTGCACGTGGTGATCAAACGACATTATGGTCAAGTATGGTTCCAAGGCTCTTTAGGATGAGTAGAAAACTGAATCTTGGAGTCTGCGACTGCCACATCTGATCCTCACACAAACATTTTCAGGACCACAATAAACTGCCAATGAATGGCTAAGGGGGCAGTAAGAAGACTCACCATGCCAGAGAGCCCTAAACTGACACTGCTGAAAGCCAGAGTTAGAATCGCAGTTTCTTCATAATAAAGGTTGTGTTGGGTTAGATCACGTAAATACACATTTGCTGTTAAGCCGCCACCAGAGCAAATTAGGAAGGTTTGTCACTTAAAAACCTAACGCGCCAATTAGTTACTAATTGGCACATTTTATCAGGTGGTGATTGCTTAACGACACATTTATATTGACGCGATCAAACCCCAACAATAACGTTATTATCAATAACACTGGTCGCAAAAGCCTACGTGTTTTATTATCTAAGTTTCTGCTGCCCGTGAATGAAACATGATTTTCAAGGGTTAGTGAGATGATGGTCTCACGTGACACAAAAGTAAGGAATTGATGGGCAGAGTGTGGTGGCCTTAATGACGTCGGCTAAGCTGATCACCTGGCTATTGTAGCCGAGATTTTAGATCGTTCTCCGATTCACGGAATTCTCATTTTTTTTACGTCTGCCATGACAAAAGATGGCACGCTGGAAACACC